GGTTAAATGTCATGTTTCTGTTTATCCATTTGAGTTACTTTGAAGTAGTGAATTCACCAATGGGCATCTAATCACTCAATTTAATCTCAGCAAGGATCCTGATGTCTGTTCTTTGTGGATACAGGATATGTTGGCATGGTAGCTGTAAAGATAAAAGGCGGTGGAGGCAAGGGTTGGCATGAACAAAGAAAACTATAGCACTGGTACAGGCCCTTCAGCCCTCCAAGGCTGCGCTGATCCAAATCCTCTATCTCAACATGTCGCCTATTTTCCAAGGGTCTGTATCCCTCTGCTTCCTGCTTATTCATGTATCTGTCTAGATACATCATAAATGATGCTATCATGCCTGCCTCTACCACCTCCACTGGCAACGTGTTCCAGACACCCACCACCCTCTGCGTATCTCCCTTAAATTTTTCCCCTCTCACCTTGAAATTGTGACCCCGAGTAATTGAGTACCCCACTCTGGGAAAAAGCTTCTTGCTATTCACCTTGTCTATACCTCTCATGATTTTGTAGACCTCAATCAGGTCCCCCCCCCAACCTCTGTCTTTCTAATGTAAATAATCCTAATCTACTCAACCTCTCTTCATAGCTAGCGCCTTCCATACCAGGCAACATCCTGGTGAACCTCCTCTGCACCCTCTCCAAAGCATCCACATCCTTTTGGTAATGTGGCGACCAGAACTGTACGCAGTATTCCAAATGTGGTCGAACCAAAGTCCTATACAACTGTAACATGATGTGCCAACTCTTGTACTCAATACCCCATCCGATGAATGAAAGCATGCCGTATGCCTTCTTGACCACTCTATCGACCTGCGTTGTCACCTTCAGGGTACAATGGACCTGAACACCCAGATCTCTCTGTGCATCAATTTTCCCCTGGGCTTTTCCATTTACCATATAGTTCGCTCTTGAATTGGATCTTCCAAAATGCATCACCTCGCATTTGCCTGGATTGAACTCCATCTGCCATTTCTCCGCCCAACTCTCCAATCTATCTATATTTTGCTGCATTCTCCAATAGTCCCCTTCACTATCTGCTACTCCACCAATCTTAGTGTCATCTGCAAACTTGCTAATCAGATCATCCATATCTTCCTCCAGATCATTTATGTATATCACAAACAACAGTGGTCCCAACACGGATCCCTGTGGAACACCACTGGTCACAGTTCTCCATTTTGAGAAACTCCCTTCCACTACAACTCTCTGTCTCCTGTTGCCCAGCCAGTTCTCTATCCATCTAGCTAGTACACCCTGGACCCCATGCGACTTCACTTTCTCCATCAGCCTACCATGGGGAACCTTATCAAACGCCTTACTGAAGTCCATGTATATGACATCTACAGCCCTTCCCTCGTCTATCAACTTTGTCACTTCCTCAAAGAATTCTCTCAAGTTGCTAAGACATGACCTTCCCTGCACAAAACCATGCTGCCTGTCACTAATAAGCCCATTTGCTTCCAAAAGTAAATAGATCCTATCCCTCAGTATCTTCTCCAGCAGCTTCCCCACCACTGACGTCAGGCTCACCGGTCTATAATTACCTGGATTATCCTTGCTACCCTTCTTAAACAAGGGGACAACATTAGCAATTCTCCAGTCCTCCAGGACCTCATTCCGTGCTCAAGGATGCTGCAAAGATATCTGTTAAGGCCCCAGCTATTTCCTCTCTTGCTTCCCTCATTAACCTGGGATAGATCCCATCCGGACCTGGGGACTTGTCCACCCTAATGCCTTTTAGAATACCCAACACTTCCCCCCTCCTTATGCCGACTTGACCTAGAGTAATCAAACATCTATCCCTAACCTCAATATCCGTCATGTCCCTCTCCTCGGTGAATATCGACGCAAAGTACTCATTAAGAATCTCACTCATTTTCTCTGACTCTTCGCATAACTTCCCTCCTTTGTCCTTGAGTGGACCAACCCTTTCTCTAGTTACCCACTTGCTCCTTATGTACGAATAAAAGGCTTTGGGATTTTCCTTAACCCTGTTTGCTAAAGATATTTCATGACCCCTTTTAGCCCTCTTAATTCTTCATTTTAGATTGGTTCTACTTTCCTGATATTCTTCCAAAGCTTCGTCTGTTTTCAGTTGCCGAGACGTTATGTATGCTTCCTTTTTCCTCTTTGCTAGTCTCACAATTTCACCTGTCATCCATGGTTCCCTAATCTTGCCCTTTCTATCCCTAATTTTCACAGGTACATGTCTGTCCTGCACTCTAATCAACCTGTCTTTAAAAGCCTCCCACATATCAAATGTGGATTTACCCTCAAACAGCTGCTCCCAATCCACATTTCCCAGCTCCTGCCGAATTTTGCTATAGTTGGCCTTCCCCCAATTTAACACTCTTCCTTTAGGACCATTCTCGTCTTTGTCCATGAGTATTCTAAAACATACGGAATTGTGATCACTATTCCCAAAGTAATCCCCTACTGAAACTTCAGCCACCTGGCCGGGTTCATTCCCCAACACCAGGTCCAGTATGGCCCCTTCCCGAGTTGGACTATTTACATACTGCTCTAGAAAACCCTCCTGGATGCTCCTTACAAATTCTGCTCCATCCAAACCCCTAACACTAAGTGAATCCCAGTCAATGTTGGGAAAATTAAAATCTCCCATCACCACCACCCTGTTGCTCCTACATCTTTCCATAATCTGTCTACATATTTGTACCTCTATCTTACGCTCGCTGTTGGGAGGCCTGTAGTACAGCCTCAACATTGTTACCGCACCCTTCCTATTTCTGAGCTCTGCCCACATTGCCTCACTGCTCGAGTCCTCCATAGTGCCCTCCTTCAGCACAGCTGTGATATCCTCTTTGACCAGTAATGCAACTCCTCCACCCCTTTTACCTCTCTCTCTATCCCACCTGAAGCATCTATATCCTGGGATATTTAGTTGCCAATCTTGCCCTTCCCTCAACCAAGTCTCAGTAATCGCAATAACATCATACTCCCAGGTACTAATCCAAGCCCTAAGTTCATCTGCCTTACCTACTACACTTCTCGCATTAAAACAAATGCACCTCAGACCAACTGTCCCTTTGCGTTCATCATCTGCTCTCTGCCTCCTCTTCCCCTTAGTCACACTGACTTCATTATCTAGTTCCTCACAGGCTTTAGTTACTACCTCCTTACTGTCTACTAACCTCCTCATTTGATTCCCATCTCCCTGCCACATTAGTTTAAATCCTCCCCAACAGCATTAGCAAAATCACCCCCTAGGACATTGGTTCCAGTCCTGCCCAGGTGTAGACCGTCCGATTTGTAATAGTCCCACCTCCCCCAGAATCGGTCCCAATGTCCCAAAAATCTGAACTCCTCCCTCCTGCACCATCTCTCAAGCCACTCATTTATCCTACCTATTCTGTCATTTCTACTCTGACTAGCACGTGGCACTGGTAGCAATCCTGAGATTACAACCTCTGAGGTCCTACTTTTTAGCATGGCTCCTAACTCCCTAAATTCTGCTTGTAGGACCTCATCCCATTTATTACCTATATCATTGGTGCCTAAATGCACCACGACATCTGGCTGTTCACCCTCCCCCTTCAGAATGTCCTGCAGTCGATCTGAGACATACCTGACCCGTGCACCTGGGAGGCAACATACCATTCGGGAGTCTCGTTTTCGACCACAGAACCGCCTATCTACTCCCCTTACAATCGAATCCACTCTGACTACAGCCCTTCCACTCTTTTTCCCTCCCTTCTGTACAGCAGAGCCAGCCACGGTGCCATGAACCTGGCTACTGCTGCCTTCCCCTGGTGAGCCATCTCCACCAACAATATTCAAAATGGTATACCTGTTTTGGAGGGAGATGACCGCAGGGGACACATGTACTGCCTTCCTGCTTTTTCTCTGCCTTTTGGTCACCCATTCCCTTTCTCCCTCAGCAATCCTAATCTGCGGTGTGATCAACTTGCTGAACGTGCTATCCATGACTTCCTCAGCATTGCGGATGCTCCAAAGTGAGTCCATCTGCAGCTCCAGAGCCGTCATGCGGTCTAACAAGAGCTGCAGCTGGACACACTTCCTGCATGTGTAGGAGTCAGGGACATCAGCCGCGTCCCTGAGCTCCCACATTGACCAAGAGGAGCATAACATGGGTCTGGGATCTCCTGCCATTTTTACTCTTAAGTTTGTCTTGGTCCTACTATAATATCAAATACTAGATAAATGAAATGAAAAAATTTTTACCAAATCACTCTACTTACCAGCACACGATAGAAAAAAAGAAAAAGAAAATCCTTACCTTATCAACACACCACAGAGTCTTTTCAGAGGAGGAGGGTGGGTGGGAGACACTACACGTGTAGTGTCTCGGGTTTAGCCACTGCCCAAATATATCAGTTCACTCACCTTCCCAGAGCGCCATTCAACTGCTCCCACTCAGCTCCGCTGCCGAAATGAAGAACTTACCTTCCCGGCAGCCCCCTGGTCCTCGCTCTCACCGCTCCCGCTGCTGCAGCTGCAAAAATGGAGTTGGCACAAAGTTGGCATCAGACTATAGAGCCACAGGGATAGGTAGAGGGGCATACTTTGACATAGAGGGCATGAAGGTCCAGGGGATAGGTTGAAGGGCATAGGTTGGAATGTAGGATAAGAGGGCCATGAAGTTTGGTTGGGCACATGATGTGGCATGGTTTGACAGGGAAGGGACATAGGGAATGTGTGGATGGTGACGGGGCACAAGAGGTGAGGGCCGGAGCACAGTTTTATGCTTCAAAGTGTTTTTCTTTTAAACTTCGACACAGTGCCAGAGCACCAAAGGTGCCGGCCAAACCTGCCAGTTCAACACCGCACCTCGTAATAACTCCCAGATAACACAACCTGTCCAAAACAAGAATTCACAATTTACCCACGTCACGTTTTCAAAGTTGGGAATCACCGAAAATCTTCACTCAGGACCCAGGAGTGAAAATCCAGGCCCCAGGTATAAAATGAATCTCTGCTGTGTTATGACTTGCGATTTCAATTCAACACAGGCGCTACGGAAGGCTCTGTTCGGGACAGCATTTCAAGTTTTCAATTACGAATGGAAGAAATCCCACTTTAAATTCCGAGATCCCTATTCAGATCTGGCATACGCGCTGGAGGCAGAGAGGGTGAGTAAAATTGTACAAAGTCATTTGGTTTTATTGAGTTGTCCATGAGTCTCCACACATAGAAACCCATCACCATGTCTAAAGTCATAAACCTATACTACCATCCGCAATTTAAAACAAAGAAATCTGACATGGAATTTGGGTGCCACTCTCATGCTCAGCAGCTGTTTGCCCCATCCCTAAATGCCTTTGAACTGAGCAACTTGATAGGCTATTTCAGAGGGCAGTTAAGAGGCCACAACCTTGCTGTGGGTCTGGAGTCACATGTAGGCCAGACCAGCTAAGCACGGCAGATTTCTCTCCCTAAATGAAAGATTTTTATGACGATCATTGAGAATTTTGTGTTCAGCACTTTTGAGACCTGGGGCAGAATCTTGTAGGCAACATCGGCTATGGCGAGACTTACAGTAGAATTGCACGAGAAATCTGGCGAGGCCTATCTCGACATTGGGAACAATTTGCTCCATCTTATATACGGAGCCAAGCTGTGAGGCAAACTTCTCGCTAAACAGTGGCAGTTGCCAGTTCAGAGGGTTTGTAGCTCGTTAAACATCTTATCCAAATGCACTAAACAAGCTGGACGTTGAGAAATTTCATCATGGAACTCCAAGTGGGTACCTGGTGACTCAGTTGTGAGAGGCCTTCCTGTTTTCCAGCACTACCAACCATGAACACCCACCTTGTCCAGAGATATTGGCATTTGACAACTGCCAGCCCTTACAACCATCATGGCACCTTTCCAATCCACTTGCAGGCTGCTTCTCTTGCAGCATACCAGCAACTAGCACCAAGGACCCAATGGCCTAGTGGTATTTCAGGGGACCTGGGTTCAAATCCTGGCAGATGGTAGACTTTGACTTTTTTTTTCAATAAAGAATCTGGAATTAAACGTCTAAAGATCACTATAAAATCATTGTTAGTTGTTGGAAAAACCCATCTAGGGAATCTGCCATCCTTACCTCGTCTGGCTTACATGTGACTCCAGACCCACAGCAATGTAGTTAAGTCTGAACCTTCTGGTCAGTTAGGGATGGTCAACAAATGCTGGCTTATAGAGGCACCCACATCCCGTGAATGAATTAACAAAAAAGGCAGCTGTGAGGACACTTTGAAAACAGGAACGGACGCCCAATATGTGGCTTGGAACAGACTGCATCTCAGCGATGTTCATGTACTCTCCTAGCATCACTTACATAGCACCTACCTGCCTGCTTGCAGCCTCCATGCCTTGCCTCATCATGGTGTGCCGTTCCTGTTAGCAAGTTAGCGGAGGCAAAGGCTATCAGTACTGCCTTATTGATGTTGTGCTCTTTCACACTGACTCACAGACAGGTCACTTGTCTTGCTCGCCGTTGGGCATCTTTATGAACAGCACTCCGAAATGTCAACTTAACTCCACCCAACTCCCTCAATATGCCAGCTGCCTGTGTGGCAAACACAAGGCACTTGTATTGTACCAAATGGCAATGTTAGAAACCAGGTGGGGTTTAGCCCTCTGTCCAGTCGGGGTGGGGAGTGGGCACTGTTAGGTCAACGGGTCCCGTTACCATTATTCACAGGCACAGTCCAGCATAGTCCCTCAGCTCGCCCATTGATCTGTCTCTATCATGTTCGAGCGGCTCGGAGAGTGTACCTGATGACCAGGCAGATGCTGGAGGGATGTTACTTGCTGTGTGGGTCTTGATAAGAAGCCAAAGGTGGATGCAGGAGGAGCAGAGCTGACAGCAATCCCAGCAACAAGATGTCGAGGATGGGGTGCTCTGGAGGGAGACAAGACCACAGGCTTCCTCAGGACACGTGGGGTCCGCAGCAGGAATATTTTAAGCCCATTCTCCATTTGCTGGGGATAAGTAAGGCATGGTGGTGATTCAGGGCTGTATTGACCTAAATCCTGTGGGAGAGGGGGACCATTCTCTTCCAGTAGCTATGAAGGTCAATGAAGGTCACTGTCGGTTTGAGGTTTTATATAACTCACTCCTTCCATGGATTAGGGTAACTGTGTGGATCTCTCAGTCATATTCTCACAAATGTATCAGGACAGTGACAGATGCCATCTCTGCAATGTCACACTGGGTTGTTTTGCTCCCCAATGGCTAGCTCAGTGCTGCAGCCTGGGCAGTAGGATTCAGGGGCAGCATAGCTGGCAGCTCCCAGGGGCAGGGTGCCATCCACTGTACACACATGGCACTGAGAGAGCAGTTACACAACGCTGTGGAATTCATCAACAGGAAGGAATTCAATTCCATTCATGTCCGGGTGGTCTGTGATCACCATTAGCATTTCCTGGAGGTGTGTGTCCACTCCCCTGGCAGCTACCAGGACTCCTACATCCTGGAGCACTCTTGCGTTCCTAATGTGTTTGAGGGTCTTGGTGCCTTGCAAGGCTGGTTACTGGGGGACAAGGGCTACCGACTATAACCCGCTCCTCATAACACCATTGCAAACCCCCCAGCACACATACAATGCAGCCCATACCTCGGGCAAGCACATGGTGGAGCGGACAATGTGGTTCCACTGCTTTCACCAGGTTGGCATTAGGGGTTGGGGAAGCCTCCACTATAATCCAGACAGTGTGCTGTGCTCTGCACAATTGGAGCAGGAAATGAGGCGATGTGTTAGATACTGAGAAGCTGGGCGAGAGGGAGCAGTCATCTGAAGAGGAGGAGGAGGACGAGGTCATTGAGGAAGAGGAAGCTCTCCTTGTAGATGTGAGAGCTCAGCTGCATCATGCACTACAAGGCACACAGGAGTTGACTGACCACCCCCCACCCCTCACCCCCTGCAGTTTCCAATCAATGAGAGCTGGGCGTGGCAGACAATCATGGAATGTAAAATAGTCATCGTTCATGATACCAGCTCCTGATTTACATCGTGGGGGTGAACTGCTCCCTCTAGTCATTTTAGTTTCTGTTTGTTTCTTCCAGCTGTAAATTAATGCTCCTGTTTGGAATTGTCCAATTGATGTCTAAGGGTGATGTTCCTCTACTGGACAATGACAAGACATGTGCCCATGGGCATTGAGGACAGGGTGACAGTGACTCAGAGAGTTTGTTTAGACAAGATGTAGCTATGGACAGGTAAACTGTGTGGCCTGGTGGTTAAACAGCAATGAGGGTGTGAGGGTGGGGTTGTATGTCCAAGGGAGTGCCAACAAAGCTGGATATACGCCATGAGCTGTGTGGCTTGGTGATTGCTGTGCCATTATGTTGTTGGTGAGGGGCAATGCTGCGTGCCAATGAATGGCTGGGTGCACAATGGCCTTTTAAAGTAGGCACAGACACAAAGGATGCTGCTTTCTCAGAGGATATCTGGCAAATGGTGAGTTGTTCCAGGAATGATGCATGAAAGCATGGGGCTAGAATCAGGGACTCCATAGGGCAGGCAGGTAGTTAATGAGTTTGGTAAGCTACGATGAGAAATATCACTGGACCTCACGCGAAAAAATACCCCTCTAAAATAAACTCAATAGAGCTCGCTCTTTGCCCAAAAGGGTGACATAAGACTCAGCCCTGGCTTTCAACTCAAGAACTGTCATCAACTTAAACAGGACCAGCATCAATGGTGGGATTCAAACCCCATGCCCCAAGTAATTAGCCTGGGCCTCTAGATGCTAACCCAGTGACATTACCACTATGCCACCATCTCTTTTTTGAGGGTAGATAAATGTTCAACTTCATGCTGGAGTGTTAACTTATGTTATGGATTGGTTGCCATCATAGGAACTTATTTGATTTTCATTTCAATTGATTCAGAATGCCAGATTTCCAATCTGTCATGACCACAGATCCTATACCCTGACGGCTTATGGACAAATCAAACTCTTAAATTCCAACATTTATTCCTGAAAGAGGACTGATACAACCAGCGTGACTACAAATATAAATTCAGTGACTGTTTGGACACACAGACCCTGGAATTTCACACCTGATGAAGCTTCATAGGGATGTAATCTCCTGGGCAGACTGAACATAATGGGAGAAAAGACCACAGTCTGGGTGAAAGACATTACCCTTTCAAGGATACTCAAGATCCGGGGTTGAAAAGGGTGTACAAGTCTGGTCTATGTGGACTAGTTTGCAAAGGTGTGTTAGTGAGCTGAGGTGCTCATGAGTGCCAGTGAACTAAGGTGCCATGTATACGAGCCTGGGTTCAAGCACTAGTGTGCATGAATGTCACTATTCACCCTAACATTGTAGGTAAAAGGATTCTCTTACTCTAAGCACTAGAAGGAAACAGGACTAAGGAGTACTGTCTCACTCTGAGCACTGCCAACTAACCACAGTCAAAGTGATTCAGGATTTCAATTAACCTGCAAAGCCAAGAATCCTGAGATCAACTGTTAATGTTCCACTATTTACTTTTCAGAAACAGCCCAGTGGGACTGAACTCTTTAGAGTCACAGGGTCGTCAGCCCAACCAGTCCATGCCGAACATAATCCCAAACTAGTCCTACCTGCCTGCTCCTGGCCCATACCCTCCAAACCTTTCCTATTCATGTACTTTCCAAGTGTCTTTTAAATGCTGTAATTGTACCACTTCCTCAGAAAACTCATTCCACACTCGAATGACCCTCTATGTGAAAAATTTGCCCCCCAGATCTTTTTTAAATCTCTTTCCTCTCACCTTAAAAATGACCCCCCTTGTCTTGAAATCCTCATCCTAGGACAAAGACACCTACCCTATTAACCCTATCTATATCCCACATAATTTTGTAAATCTCTATAATGTCACCTCTAAACCTCCTACACTCCAGTGAAAAAAGTCCTAGCCTACTCAGCCTTACTTCATAACTCAAACCTTCCATACCCAGCAACATCCTGGTAAATCTCTTCTCAACTCTCTCCAGCTTAATAATATCCTTCCTATAACTGGGTGACCAGAACTGGACACAGTATTCTAGAAGAGGCCTCACCAATGTCCTGTACAACCTCAATATGACTTCCCAATTCTTATACTCAAAGGTCTGAGCAATGAAAGCAAGATTGCTAAACAAACTTCAAAGAATTATGACCCTGTGCCCCTAGGTCTCTTTGTTCTACAACATCATCCGAGGCCCTACCATTAATTATATAAGTCCTACTCCCGTTTGTTTTACCAAAATGCAATACCTTGCATTTATCCAGATTGAACTCTATTTGCCATTTTTCAGCCCATTGACCCATTTGAGCAAGATTCCTTTGTAATCTTAGAAAACCTTCTTCACTGTCTACTATGCCACCAATTTTGATGTCATCTGCAAATTTACTATCTCTGACATTTATCTTTTCTTTGGACTCATGTTTAGTTTCTAATCTGTGTGTATGTTTGTTATTATTTCTCCTCCTGTTTAATAACTGAAAAACTCACTCTTTCTGTTCTCTCAAGAATGCTTGGCTTGATTCGCTCGGTTTAGAAACTTGAATTAAAAATCAGGAACAAAAACAAAAGAGGGTGGCACAGTGACACAGCGGCACAGCAGTTAGCACTGCTGACTCACAGCGCCAGGGATTCTGGTTCGATTCCACCCTCGGGCCACTGTCTGTGTGGAGTTTGCACATTCTCCCCATGTCTGCGTGGGTTTCCTTCGTGTGGTCCGGTTTCCTCCCATAGTCCGAAGATGTGCAGCCTAGGTGGATTGGTCATGCTAAATTGTCCGTAGTGTTCAGGGGTTTGTACATTAGGTGGGTTATGGGGGAGATGGGTTTGGGTGGGTACTCTGAGGGTCGGTGTGGACTTGTTGGGCTGCAGGGATTCTATGATAAATTAATTTGGGTCTGGGAGAATGATATCCACAAGGGTAGGGATCCTTTGTGAATTAACCTTGTTGTGATCAAACAAGAGGGTAGGTGAATTAAGAAGGAAAGTCAGTTCCTCAACCCTCACCTGGGAGTTTAACCATTTGGGGTATCCTGTCTGGAATCATAATAACTTGGGGAACATTGCCCAGGGCCTGCTGTATCAATTCAGCTAACCAACTGAAGTGCTCGTGAGGGCAACTCCCACTTTACTTAATTCATAGCAGCTGTGGAAGACCATTCAGTTCTGCAAGCGTGTTCTACCATTCAATTATAGAGCACTGATGATTTTTACCTTGAGTCGTGTGCCTTTGCTCTGCATTCCTTCATATCCTTTGCTAATAAAAATCTGTCTATCTCAGTGTTAAAAGCTCCAATTGTCCTTTAGCAATCACAAATATATTGGGAAGAGAGTTCCACATTTCCATTTTTCTTTTTGTGGGAAAGTGATTGTGATTTCCATCCTAAATGGCCCAGCGGTAATTTTAAGTTAATTGTCTTATTGAAACGGTGCACCTCTTTTAATGAAATATTTCCCATTGCAGTACCCATTAACCATCCCAAGTTGGCTTTCAGAAGTAAGTAAGTAAGAAAGAAATAAGCCACTTCTTCTTAAACTTCTACGGTTAGTATGGGTAAGTTGCTCGCACCTTGCAATTAGGGAAGAAGTTTCAGGATTTTGTCACTACAGCAAGTAAAAAAGTGATTTATATGGATCTAAGGGAAGGTGATGGCCTAATAGTATAATTGCTAGATGGTTAAACCAGCGACCCAGATAACATTCTGGGAAGCTGCGTTCAAATCCCACCAGGGCCGATGGTATAATTTGAATTCAACACAAATCCGGAATTACAAGTTTGATGATGACCATGAAACCGTTGAGGAAAAATCCATGAGGTTCACTAATGTCCTTTAGGGAAGGAAACTGCCGTCCTTACTTGGTCTGGACTACATGTGACTCCAGACTCACAGCAATGTGATTGACTCTCAATTGCCCTCTGGATGATCAATAAATGCTCTCATCCTGTGAATGAATAAAAAGGAAAGCCAGGATAGCATGTGGCATGGTCAGCAATCTGATTCAATTGATCAAGGATAATATAAGGGCATAGAAATAGACCACTTGGATCAACCAGTCCAAATAACCTCTTTTAGGGATGTTATTACACTCTGGAGTATGGGGTACATGAACCTAGGCCTCCTGGCTCAGAGGTAGAGACACTCCCATTGTGCCACATATCCCTTGGCTTAACCAGTGTATGCTGATGTAGTTAGTTCCTTTGATTTCCTTCCTATCTTTTCTCATCAGCATCTAACATTGCAACCTATTCCTTTGCCCTCAGCCACTTTCCATTAATTGCATCAATACAATTCATTTCGACAAGTGTCAACTTCCACATTGTTTGAGAAATAATTTTTTTCAGAATTCCCATGTCTATGTAGGTTTCCTCTGGGTACTCAGTTTCTTCCCACAGTCCAAAGAAGTGCGGGTTAGATGGATTGACCGTGCTAAATTGCCCATAGTGTCCAGGGATGTGCAGTTTGGGTGGATTAGCCATGGGGAAATGCAGGGTTATAGGGAAGGGCTGGTTCTTGTTTGGATGCTCTTCAGAGGTTGTGCGGACTCAATGGGCTGAATGGCCTGCTTCTGCTCTGTGGGGATTCTATGATTCACCAGGCCTGCTCTGCCCATTTAAACAGATTGTGTTCTGGAAGCCATTTATCCCCACGATCTCCACATCCCTTGATGTCATTAGTTTCCAGAAATCTATTGACTTCTGCCTTGAATCTATTCAATGACTTACTCTCCACAACACTCAGTGATGGAGAATTTCCAAAAGTCGCTACCTTCTGGGTGAAGCATCTGAATCCCAAATGGCCTGTTCCTTATTCTGAGACCATGTCCCTCTATTCTAGACTCACCATCCAGCAGAAACAGCTAACGTTATGTTTAGTGAGATTAGTAGGACTGTAATATGTAAAATAATGTTGATAAGATTGATGTTTGATAAAATTATTCGTTCTTTTTGAAGGGTGGCATTAGATCTGTTCAGATGGCTGTGCAAGCGTATATTCTCAAGTACCTGCTGTTCACCCGAAACAGTGATTTGGAAAGCCAGAACATTAAGTGGTAAAATAAAGCTCTCATCTTGACTTATTAGGTCAATGTTTAGAATAATTGTGAAATTTTATTGGTTGGATGTTCTTCAGAGGTTGTGCAGACTCAATGGGCTGAATGGCCTGCTTCTGCTCTGTGGGGATTCTATGATTTACCAGGCCTGCTTTGCCACTTCAAACAGATCATGGTCTGGAAGCCATTTATCCCCTGATGTCATTAGTTTCCAGAAATCTATTGTCTTCTGCATTGAATCTATTCAATGACTTACTCTCCACAGCCCTCTGAGTGACGCATTTGAATACTAAATCCTAAATCCTAAGTATTTTATTGGTTGCTTTCAATGAGTTTTGAGATGCTTTGATCCCAGCTGAGGAAGGGGTTTTGCTTAAGTCCCAAGAGAAGACTGCAGGGACCATGCAGGCAGCTCACATGAGAAACTTAGCAGGGACTGAAGAAGTGTCATACCGGACATTAACTCTGTTTCTCTCCCCACAGATACTGGCAGACCTGCTGAATTTCTCCAGCATTCTCTGTGTTTGTTTCAGATTTCCAGTGTCTGCAGTATTTTGCTTTGGGGACCATTGGAGCAATGGCTATTCCAGGGGAGTACATCGCAAACAGACATATATCAGAACTAACACCATCAGCCCTCCTGCATTAACCTGCAAGTCCAAGGATTAAATATAAATCTCTTGTGAGCAACACAGAGGGAATAAAAAATCTTAGTCAATCTGCAGAATTCTTTACTGTAGAGAGCTATGGAGGCTGGATCACTAAGTATATTCAAGGTAGAAGTAGATTTTCGATCCCTAAGGGAATCAAGGGTTATGGGGAAAGACAGGAAAGTGCAGTTAAGGATTATCTGATAAACCATGATTTATGTTCCCTCTAAGCTGAGTGACTGTGTAGCCGCTCAGTGCGTTTGTTCACATCCAGTAAAGAAAATCACTGCCATGCTTGGACCTTGGAAGACCCCAGGAGGTATTAATGGGAACAAGGGTCATGATCTCATTGAATGGTGGAACAGACTTGATGGGCTGAATGGCCTATTTCCATTCATTCTTCTTACAGTCTTATAGTGACGGCTCATTTGTTTTGCATTTTTATTGATCATTTTAGTTTATTGGGTGGTAAAAGCATCAAAGACAGGGTGGGGGCGTAAAATGACTCTTTATGGGGGGGTGCAGGTGGGAAGTCATGCGATGAAGCCTCCAGAAATATGCCCACCCCTAAGTTGGCGACCGTGGCTAGAATCAGAGCAAGGAGATAGTGGGTTGCAGGAGGTAGAGGTGCCCTTGAAAGCCAGGTATGTGCCAGGGACAGGTAGGCAGTGCTTGGCAACCAGTAGAATGACCTCTTGGCAGCATCAAAGCTGCAGGACTGGCCTGCGCCACTGTGTGACAGAAAGATGGGCATCTATTGGCAATGGAGCAGGAATCGCATTCATTCCCCTGCCGCCAAAACCAGTTGAGAGCCCAAAAGGGGTGACCTGGCAGCCATCCCAAGCTTAAGAAACCTCTCCCAACTGGGGAGGAAGTGGTGAATAAACTGCTTTAATTAGGCGCCCATCTCTTCTGGGCAAAAGGCCACTCCATTGAGGCATTCCTGCCATTGGGAATATCTCATCCCGGTGAGAGGTGGCTGGGCTTTCCTCCCAATGCTTGCCACAAACGTTGCCCATCTACCCATCCACCTCCAGAGGGCTGGTAAACTCCAGCTCGATATATATAAACTTGGGTCAAATAATGATTGAGGTTATCTGTGTCCAAGGTGCTAAAGCATCCATGTAGCGGTTAGTCCTTTAGTTACCATCTGCCATTTGGCTCTAACATTGGTCACATTTGGAGTGATTGCAACTGGTGCCTTACATTTTCCTACATTCTCTCGTAGCCTGCTTGGAGTGAGCCTTAAAGAGCAAGAAAATGCACTGGCAGCAGCGCTGTCTGACATTCTGTGGACGGCAGGGGAAGGAGTCAAGAGCTTTGTTTGTTTGGTGACTGCTGACTGCTATTTTGCCCCAACAATCGACTACAAAATGGACAGCTACACCGAAAGAGTAAGAGTTAGCACACAGACATTCAAATTATGGAATTAAAACATCTTTCTTCAATTTGCATAAAAACATATTCTACGCTTTGCAAACATTGCCACTTTTAAATGGAATACCAAACTCAAGATCCAGTTCAGATAGCCGATAAATATGACTAACACTTTTGAGGAATCCAGGGACTTAGCGTTCCCATCAAAGATCGATCCCATTGCAATCTGTCTTTCCCTAAGAATTGGCATATAAATTTACATGCAGTCTATCTGGTATAAAATTAAGCAATTCTTATTCCATTTAGTGTAATGTTTCCTATGATTTAACCCATGGCTTTTTAAAAATTCCTCCATAGATGTGCGTGTCACCAGTAAGGTCAAAATTTACTTCCTGTCCTTAATTGCACTCAAGAAGGTGGTGGTGAGCTGCTTTTGTGAACTGCTCTAGTGGTGTAGGCACGCCCAGAGTGCTGTTAGGGAGGTACCTCAAGATAATTGTTCATCGTGACTGATGCTGGAAGAAGCTCATGAAAGCTGCAGAGTTGTCCTGAGAGATAATTCTTGTTGCTAACAGCATGAGCTAAAATATTTTTTTGTTTTCACTCACTCACAAAATATGGACATCCCTAATTGCCCTGGAGAAGGTAATAGTGAAATGTCTTCTTCAACTGCTACAGTGCATGTGGTCTGGGCTTTGGTAACCTCAGGATGTTGATAATGAGGGATTCAGTGATTGTTAATGCCATTGATTATTAAGAGGCGTTGCTTAGATTCTCTTTTGTTGGAGATAGTTTTGGTCTGGTGTTTGTATGACATGAATGTCAAAATTGGGTCAACGTATTCTGCTCTAGGACAATCAGTTCGGATAAAAGTTAGAGTTCTTTTTTAAGAAAGAAAGTTTTAATAGCTAGAACTGGTCAGGCATTAAAGGGTTTCAAGAAATGTGTAAACAGGGCAGAAGTGATGGAAAATTAGCCTGAAACCAAGCAATGTGACTCACTAAAGCAGAGCAAGGTAGCAAAATTGATTTTACATAGTAAGACATTAAGGTCTCTTGTATTGATGGAAATAAATCACACTGATTGTAGTTAGAATGCTGTTACATTCAAATGAAAGTAAATAAATAATTTTAACCATTCAAAGCAAGTGTCAGTTTCACAGAATTGTATTATGACTTGGATTCCAGATCAGACAGGCCCGTATCTTTCAGACAGTTATACGGCACCAGGACATGCAAGGTCCCGCAACAAAGGGACTTGCCTCACTTTCAGTCCCTCTCTCTGTGTCATGCAGTCAGTGTAGTCATTCAGTTATGTGTATGTTAAGTACAGTAACATTAGTAAGAATGGGACCTAGGCTCTGTGCGTATATCTCTGAAATTGTAGCCTTGTAAATAGTGTTGTAAATCAACTTTAAGACATCTGTCTCACAAGAACCTGGTTCTTTGTGGCATATGGACTAACATATAGAAAACCACAAACTGCATTAACAAGTATTTGCTGGAGAGAGATTAAAGAAATAAAGAGGCAAAAGCTACAAGTAGGCTTGATCATAAGGTACAGCTCCTGGGTTATGCCTTTATAAAGGTGAATACACAACAAAGTGAGATATTGTTCTCGTGAAAACATGACTCTCACGCTGCTTCAGTGAAACATTGATATCATGAACTTAAGAACATATCTACAGTAGAGTTAATTGATTATAGATATGTAGAAACAAAGAAAAGATAGGAGCAGTAGGGGGCCATTAGGCCCATCGAGCCTGCTCTGCCATTCTTCTCGATCATGGCTGATCATCCAACTCAATGGCCTAATCCTGCTTTCAACCCATAACCTTTGATCCCATTCACCCCAAGTGCTACATCTAGCCACCTCTTGAATAAATTCAATGTTTTTGCAACAACTACTTCCTGTGGTAAAGAATTCCACAGACTTACCACTCTTTGGGTGAAGAAATGTCTCCTCATCTCCGTCCTAAATGGTCTACCCCGAATCCTCAGAATGTCCTCCCTGCATCTCCCCTGTCCATCCTGTTAGAATTTTTAAGTCTCTATGAGATCCTGCCCTCATTCGTCTGAACTCCAGCAAAAACAATCCCAACCCAGTCAATCTCTCCTCATACATCAGACCCCACCCCATCCCCAGAATCAGCCTGGTAAACCTTTGCTGCACTCCCTCAAGAGCAAGAGCATCCTTCTTCCGAAAAGGAGACCAAAACTGCACACAGTATTCTAGGTGTGGCCTCACCAAGGCCCTGTATAACTGCAACAACACATCCCTGCCCCTGTACTCAAAACCTCTCGCAATGAAGGCCAACATGTCATTTACCTTCTTTACCGCCTGCTGCACCTGCATGCTTACCTTCAGTGACTGGTGCACAAGGATACCCAGATCCCACTGCACACTCCCCTTTCCCAATTTACAGCCATTCAGGTAGGAATCTGCCTTCTTGTTTTTGCTTCCAAAGTGAATAACCTCACATTTATCCAAATTACACTGCATCTGCCATCGATTTGCCCCTCACCCAACCTGTCCAGATCATACTGAAGGATCTCTGCATCCTCGTCACAGTTTACCCTCCCACCCAACTTGATATCAACTGTAAACTTGGAGATGTTACATTTAGTTCCCTCATCCAAATCATTAATATATATTGTGAATAGCTGGGGTTCCAGCACTGATCCCTGTGGTACTCCACTAGTTGCTGCCTGCCAGTTTGAAAAGGACCCATTAATTCCTACTCTTTGTTTCCTCTCTGCTAACCAGTTTTCTATCCATCTCAATATACTTCCCCCAATCCCATGTGCTTTAATCTTGAACATTAATCTCTTATGCAGGACTTTGTCAAAAGCTTGCTGGAAGTCCAAATATACCACATTGACTGGCTTCCCCTTGACAACTCCACTAGTTACATCTTCGTAGCAGATTTGTTAAGCATGATTTCCTCTTCATAAAACCATGCTGACTCTGTCTGATCCTGCCACTGCTTTCTAAATGCTTCGCTATAAAATCCTTGATAATGGATTCGAGAATTTTCCCCACTACCGATAGGCTTACTGGTCTATAATTCCTCACTTTTTGAATATTGGAGTGACATTATCTACCCTCCAATTTGCAGGGACTGTTCCAGAGTTTATATAATCCTGAAGGATGACCATCAATGCATCCACTATTTCTACAGCCACTTCCTTAAGCATTCTGGGATGCAGATTATCAGGCCCTGAGGATTTATCAGCCTTCAATCCCAACAATTTTCCCAGCACCATTTCTCTACTAACTTTGATGTCCCTCAATTCTTCCCTCTCACTAAATCTTGCATTCTCCACATTTCTGGTATCTGATTTGTGTCCTCTTTTGTGAAGACAGAACCAAAATGTGTATTCAGTTGCTCAGCCATTTCTTTGTCCCTTATTATACATTCCCCCATTTCTGTCTGTGGGGGATCTATATTTGTCTTCACCAATCTCTTTCTCTTCATGTACCTGTAGAAACTCTTAGTGTCAGTCTTTATGTTCCCTGCAAGCTTACTTTTTTTATTGTATTTTCCCCTTCTTAATCAATCCCTTGGTCCTTCTTTGCTGAATTCTAAACTGCTCCCAATCCCCAGACATATTATTTTTCCTGGCCAATCTGTATGCTTCTTCCTTGGATCAGATACTATCTTTAATTTTCTTTCAAAGCCATGGATTGGTCCTCTTACCCATTTTGCTTTTGAGCAGGATAGGAATAAACAGTTGTTGCAGTTCCCCCATGCGTTCCTTGAATGTTTGTCATTGCCTATCCCCTGCCATCCCTTTAAATAACTCTCCCCAATCCATCAAGGCCAAATCATGCCTCATATCTACATAGTTTCCTTTATTAAGAATCATCTCCCTAGTCTCCGAAACAACTACCTCACTCTCCATCTTGATAAAAAAAATTGTTATGATTGCTCTTCCCCAAGGGGTCTCGCACAGCTAGATTGGCAATGATTCCCTTCTCGTTACACAGTCTAAGATGGCCTGCTCTCTAGTTGGATCCTCCACATATTGGTCGAGAAAACCATCCCATATACACTCCAGGAATTCCTCCTCAACGGCATTGTGGCGAATTTGATTTGCCCAATCTATGTGCAGATTAAAATCACCCATGATCACCAATATTCCCTCATCAGATGTATCACTACTTTCCTGTTTAGTGCCATTCCCAACATCACCACTGCAGTTTGGGAGTCTATATATGACACCCACGAATGTTATTTGTCCCTTGGTATTTCTCCGCTCTATCCATACAGACTCCACACTGTCAGAGCTAATATCATTTCTTGCTATTGTGTTCATTTCCTCTTTAACCAGCAATGCCACTCCACTACCTTTTCATTTTTGCCTGTCCTTCCTAAATACTGAATACCCTGGGATATTCAGTTCCTATCCCTAGTCACCCTGCAGCCATGTCACCATAATCCCAGTTATATTGTACCCATTTACATCTTTCTGCACAATTAGTTCATCCAGTTTATTGCAAATGTTCCGTACATGAAGGCACAAAGCCTTTACTTGTGTTTTTTTAACACTGTTTGTCTCGCTCTTATTTTTCCTCAATAGACCTGTTTGATCCATGGTAATGCTAACCACATTTCTCCACAGTTCTCAGCCAAATTGCTTGGAGAATGGGTGGTCCCTTGTGCAAAGTCATCTCCCAGGAATTTCTGAAAACTTCAATGAGGGACTTCAATGTCCATCACTAAGAGAGGATAAGCAGTCAAGACAGGTCGACCAAGTTGGTCAACTCACAAAAGACAAGTGGGGGTCAAGTGGTAAAGGAGACAGCAAGATGTGAAACTTGATCTCATCTTCACAAATCTGTCTCCTGCAGAAGCATCTGTCCATGACAGCATTGACAGTATTAAGAATGACCAATGCATAGTCCTTGTGGAGATAAAGTTCCGTCTTCACATTTGTAACACTTTACATCACGTTGTGTGTCGCTACCATTCTGCTAAACACATCTGGGAAGTCAAGGTTGGGCATCAATGTAGAGATGTACAGTATCAACAGCAGCAAATTGCACTCAAACACAATGTGCAGCCACATTGCCCAGCATATCCCCCCGTTTACCATTATGTTCAAGCCAGTGTATCAATCTTGGTATAATGGAGAGTGCAGGAGGGATTGCTGGGAGTAGCTCCAGGCAGACCTAAAGATGAGATGTCAACCTGGTGAACATACAACACAGGACTAATTACATGCCAAACAACATAAAAGTGATAGACAGGAACAAACACAGAGAATGCTGGAGAAACTCAACAAGTCTGGCAGTATCTCTGGAAAGAGAAACAGAGTTAATGTTTCAAGATAGTGATGGACATTGAAGTTCCTCATTGAAGCTTTCAGAAATTCCTGGGAGGTGACTTCGCACAAGGGCTCACCCATTCTCCAAGCAATTTGGCTGAGAACTGTGGAGAAATGTGGTTAGCATTACCATGGATCAAACAGGGCTATTGAGGAAAAATAAGAACGAGACAAACAATGTTAAAACATTCTGCAGACAGGATAGACAGAGCTAAGTGATTCCAAAATCAACAGATCAGACCTAAGCTCTGCAGTCCAGTCGTGAATGGTGGAGGACAACTAAACAACTCACTGGAGGAGGAGGCTTCACATCCACAGTGACGGAAGAGCCCAGTACATCAGTGAAAAAGGTAAAGCTGAAGCTTTCACCACAATCTTCAGCCAGAAGCGCTGACTGGATGATTCATCTCAGCCTCCTCCAGAGAGGACTCCATCGTCACAGAGATAGTAAGAACTGCCGATACTGGAATCTGAGATAACACAGTGTGGAGCTGGAGGAAAACAGCAGGCCAGTCAACCAGGTATTGGACTGGATATCTCTGTTGCTGGATGCTCACTTTACAGTGTTGGTAATGGCAACAGAGGCTTGTGAATTAATTACCCACCTTCACAAATTCATCAGATCACAGGTTAAATTTTATTCTCAGCTCAGCAAGATTGAGGGAAATCTTCAGAATCTACATCAACTCAAAGCAAAGAATAATGGGCTGTACTCAATTGAAGTGATAGAAATACTTTAGTGTGTATAAATTTCTTAAAGAAATATATGTAACTTTTCCAATAATTGCTTTGAGTTATGTTTATAATATGAAAATATTAATTTTCTTCAAATATTTGAATGTTGTATTTTGCTGAAATAAATGCTACTTTTCTTAAAAAAAAGCCTGTTCCTCTGATGCTGGCTGGCCTGCTGTTTTCTTCCAGCTCCACACTGTGTTATCACATCATCACAGATACTATCTTCAGCCAATTTGATTCACTCCACATGATATCAAGAAATGGTTGGAGGCACTGGCTGCAGCAAAGGCTATGGGCCCTGACAACTTTCCTGACAACGGTACTGAAGAATTGTGCTCCCCGAGACAAACTGTTCCAGTACAGTTACCACACTGGCATTGACCCGACAATGTGGAAAGTTTCCTAAGTATGTCCTGTAAACAAAAAGCAGGACAAATTCACCCAGCCAATTACTGCCCCATCAGTCTACTCTCGATCATCAGTAAAGTGATGGAAGGTGTCACCAATAGTGCTATCAAACAGCACCTGCTCAGCAATAACCTGCTCAGTGACACCCAGTTTGGGTTCCGCCAGGGCCACTCAGCTCCTGACCTCATTACAGCCTTGGTTCAAACATGGACAAAAGAGATTAATTCCAGAGGTGAGGTGAGAGACTCATTTGACTGAGTGTGTCATCAAGGAGACCTAGCAAAACTGGAATCAATAGGTATCGGGGGCAACTCTCCAGTGGTTGGAGTCATACCTGGCACATAGAAAGGTGGTCGTGATGGTTGAGGTCAATCATCTTGGCTCCAGGACATCTCTGCAGGAGTTCCTTAGTTTCTCCTTGGCTCAACCATCTTCAGCTGCTTCATCAATGACGTTACCTCCATCATAAGGTCAGAAGTGGGGACGTTCGCCAATGATTGCACAATGTTCAGCACCATTCATGACACCTCAAATTCTGAAGCAGTTCGTGTCCAAAACCTGGACAATATTCAGGCTAAGGCTGAAAATGGCAATTAACATTCATGCTACACAAATACCAGACAATAACCATATTAAACAAGAGAGAATCTAAATATTGCCCATGAACAATCAGTGGCATTGCTATCGCTCAATCCCCCAGGATTAGCATTCTGGAGGGGGGTGGAAGTTACCATTGATGAGAATCTGAATCAGACTCAGCATTTAAATAAAGTGGCTACAAGAACAGGTCAAAGGCTAGGAATACTGCGCAGGTAACTCACCTCCTGACTCCATTATCTTAAGGGCAACTAGGGATGGACAATAAATACTGGCCCCGTGTCCCATGAAACTATCCCTGATAGGAAATCTATCATCATTCAAATTTCTGTGCTGTGTCACTCTTTTCTCAATTTTTTTTAGCTCCAGCTCTTCCAGTTCACTGATAGGGCAAAGCTGCAAAATTTTATTGCCGAACATGTACACTGTGTAAGTACTTACATGTATTAGCAAATGAAAGTATGTTGTAGCATATTGCCTCCAGTTAATGTAAGAACAAAACCTTTGAAGTGTGATGGCCATTGAATGCTTACAGCACTTGTTAACGTAACACATTTAACATAACAAAACACCCTAGGGTGTTTCACAGGAGTTTAATCAACAGCTTGCTTGGAAATTGGTTAGCTCAGTTGGCTGGACAGCTGGTTGCCGATGCCTAACAGTGTGGGGTCAACTCCCATAACAGCTGAAGTTACTATGAAGGTCCCACCTTCTCAACATTGCCCCTTTTATGAGATGTGGTGACCCTCAGGTGATACTGCCTCCAGTTGTCTCTCTCACTCAAGTGAAAGAGGGGTCTATGGTGACTGCTAATCATTAGAACATAGGAAATAGAAGCAGGAGAAGCATTCAGCCCATCAAGTCTCCTCTGCCATTCAGATAAATTATGGCTGATCACCTATCTCCACGCCTTTTGTCCTCACCATCCCAATATCCTATAATGCCTTTAGTGTCCTGAAATGTCAGGGGAGGCAATGGCCTAGTGATATTATCGCTGGACTGTTAATCACGAGACCCAGATAACTTGCTGGGGACCTGGGTTCAAATCCTGCCATGGCTGATGGTGGAATTTGAATTCAATTTAAAAAATATCTGGAATTAAGAATCTAATGGTGACCATGAATCCATTGTTGGAAAAACTCACCTGGTTCACTAATGCCCTTTAGGGAAGGAAAGTACAATCCTTACCTGGTCTGGCCTATATGTGATTCCAGACCCACAGCAATGTGGTTGACTCTGAACTGCCCTCTGGGCAATAAGGGATGGGTAATAAGCTGCCTACCCAGCAACATCCTCATCCTGTTAATGAATAAAGGAAAAAAATATCTATTGATTTCTGGGTTGAAGACAGAAAGTTCATGAGTGAACTTTCAGAAACCTCTAGGGTCAAGAATTCCAAAGATTTGTTCCCCTCTAGTGAACAAAATCCTCCTCATCTCAATCTTAAATGACTTGCCCCTCATTCTGAGACTGTGGTCCTCTGGTTCTAGACTCACCAGCAAAGGACACCAGTTTTTTGAGTGTGTTACTTGTATCCTAGACCTGATACTGAAAATTCTTGCCGCCTTGTCTCTTTTTAGGAATGTTTAAAATTGTAATTCTGTTAATGTTGTCAAATTTTGTAAAATGTCTGTCCTTTATATAAATGATTTGGATGAGAATATAGAAGGTATGGACGACACCAAACTTGGTGGCATAGTAGACAGTGAAGAAGATTTTCTAAGATTACAAAGGGATCTTGATCAAATGGGTCAATGGGCTGAAAAATGGCAAATGGAGTTCAATCTGTATAATTGCAAGATATTGCAGTTTGGTAAAACAAAAGTAGGGCCTTGGGTAGTGTTGTAAAACAGGGACCTAGGGGTTCAGGTACATAATTCTTTATAGTTTGCGTCACATATGGACAGGATGGTTAATGAGGTGTTCAGCATGCTTGCCTTCATTGCTCAGACCTTTGAGTATAGGAGTTGGGAAGTCATGTTGAGATTGTATAGGATATTGGTAAGGTCTCTTCTTGGAATATTGTCCTGTTCTGGTCACCCAGTTATAGAAAGGATATTATTAAGCTGGAGTGGGTTCAGAAGAGATTTACCAGGATGTTGCCAGGTATAGACGGTTTGAGCTATAAAGAAAGGCAGGATAGGCTGGGAATTTTTTCATTGGAGCGTAGGAGGTTGAGCAGCAACCTTGTAGAGGTTTATAAAATCATGGGGAGTATAGAAACGGTTAATGGTAGGTGTCTTTTCTCTAGGATAGGGGCTTTCAAGACTAGGGGCGCATTAAGGTGAGAGGAGAGAGATTTAAAAAAGACACGAGGGACAAATCTTTTACACAGAGGGGTGGTTCACGTGTGGAATAACCATCCTCAAGAAGTGATGAATGTGAGTACAATTACAATGTTTAAAAGACATTTAGATAAGTATGTGAATAGGAAAGGTTTGCAGGGATATGGGCCAGCAGCAGGCTGGTGGGATTGGTTTACTTTGGGATTCTGTTGGCATAGACTGGTTGGACCGAAGGGTCTGTTTCCGTGCTATATTATTCTGTGACGTTATGACAATTGTGCTTGATGACACTTGGTGACTCTGTTGTAGTTCATTGCTGGTTTTCAGATGAGCAACTGCTCCACATGTCTTAATATAACCCAACCTGGGCGGCTGTTACTCTAACTGGGGTACAGTGCTGTCATCCCTCTGTCTCTCTCTGACCAGTAAAGGGAATTATAAAAGTAAGAATTGGGAGTGTGAATTGATAAAGAAATAAAGAAAGACTTGCATTACTTTAACATAAGACCATTGACATTCCAAAATGCTTTACAGCCAGAGATGTACTTTGCAGTGTCGTGCTTCTGTAAATGTACGAAATGTAGCAGCCAATTTATACAGCCTCTGTATAAAGTAATGGAAGTCAAAGGGTTAACCGAGGTGCTAGGCTGAAGTTCTGCCCAGTATGATATAGAATGGGTGGAACATCAGGCAGTTCAGGAACTGTTCAAGTAGTTTTAGATAGTTCTGGGCAGTTATAGTTAGAGACAGTCATGGCTTTTAACCCCCATGCTACCATCAATATAATGGTAGCTTGTACATAGTTACAGAAGTGTAATAAACCTTATCCTGCTACCTAAAATAAATACTTCTTCTGTTGAACTTACTTGTGCATCATTCATCATCAGTAACCATGGGAAAGGCCCGAGACTAGCTTAGTAGTAGGACTGAAGCATTTTTGTCCAGGTCAGCAATTATTGCTCATCCCTAATTGCCTTGAAGAAGGTAGTGGTGAGCTGCGATCTTGAACCGCTGCAGTATTTGGAGTGTAAGGGCATCTACAGTGCCATCAGGAAGGGAGTTCCAGTATTTTGAAGCAGCAATGGAGAATGAATGGTGATATATTTCCAAATCAGGATTGTGTGTGACTTGGAGGGGAATTTGCATGTGGTGAAGTTCCTATGCATATGCTGCTGTCACCCTTCTAGGTAGCAAAGGTTGGGATTTGGGAAGGTGCTGTTGGAGGAGCTTTCATGAGCTGCTGCAATGCACCTAGTAGATAGTACACATTGCTTCCACTGTACATTGGCAGTGAAAGGATTGAATGTTGAAGGTAGTGGATGTAGTGTCAATCAGGCGGACTGCTATGATCTGGATGGTATCAATCTACTTGAGAGTTATTGGAGCTGTATCCAATGAGGCAAGTGAAGAGCATTCCATCACACTCTTGACTTGTGCTTTGTAGATGGTGGACAGGTTTTGGGAAGACAAGAGCTGAATGATCACTGGAGAATTCCCAACCTTTGACTTGCTCTTGTGGACACAGTACTTGCTTGGATGGTCTGGTTCACATTATGATCAATGGTAACCCCCAGGGTGCTGATAATATCATCTCATGGAATTTGTAATTGAATGCTCATTCAATATTTCTCCTCCAGGGTTCAGCTGAGGTTCAGTGCATGTTGCTGTAGGAGATTATGGGTTTAAGACCTGCTCCAAAGTCTTGAACACAAAATCACACTGGTCTGTCAGATTGCTGCAGATTTCTATGTGTGCCATTAACCTGAGCTTGGCCTGCACCTTGGGCATAAAAGATCTCATGCCAACTCTTTAAAGAAAGACAGGGTGGTTGCCTCAGTGTTTGCATTATGCCTCAACTGACACATGATCTATTTGTAATCTCATTGTTGTTTGCGAAAGCTTTTTGTATAGAAATTGGCTGCTGTGTTTCCTAAAAAGTAAAGTCCCCATACTCTTGCCAGACCATAGGATTGCTCATTAGAGAAAGATGGCTGGTGGTGGTTTAATCTCTGGGTCACCATACAACAGGCAAGGGCAGGGTTGAAAACCCGAGTCATTTATGGTAACTTCAGCTCGTGTGGGAATTGACCCACACTGTTGGTGTCACTCTCTGTCACAAGCTAGCCATGCAGTCAACCGAGCTAATCTTCAATCTATTCTCATAGCTGAAGTTCCCCATCCCCTGGACCATTTTTGTAAATTTCTTCTGCGCTGTCTCCAATCCAACAAAATCCTTGCAAGTCTTTGGAAGTTCTCACCACAGAGATCTATGGGGGCAGAGTCCTTGTGTGTATTTAAGGCTGAGATAGATAGATTCTTGATCAGAAGGGGAAATCAAGTTAACAGGGAAAATGCAGGAAAGGGGATGTGAGGAATGTCGGATCTGCCAGGATCCTGTTGAATGGGAGAGTAGGCTCGAGTGGCCAAATGATCTATACTTGGTCCTATTTCTTATGGTCTTATGGTCTAAGACACTAAATGCCAAATGTTATGTCAATATGCTTTCACTGGGTGGCATTGGAGTGATGCCCAATAGCATGGTGCCCAGACCAATATTCCAGGTGAGTTCAAGCAAGCGTCTGATATAAGTTCAGCATTATCACCTTGTTCTTGTATTTTATGCCCCTTTAAAATAAAGCCCAGGATACAATATGCTTTATTAACCTCTCTCTCCAACTGTCCTGCACCCTTAATGATCTGTGCACACATACACACTGGTCCCTCTGCCCTTGCACCACATTTAGAATTGTACCTCTTATTTTATTCTTTCAATGTTAGTTCTCCAAAGTGTATCTCCTCACACTTCTCTGCATTAAACTTCATCAGCCACCCATGTGTCCAGTTCATCAATTTATCTTACTCCTTAAAGTTCAACATTGTCCTCCTCTATTTGCGATCTCAGTGGAGACATAAATCCACTGAGAACACTTAAAGTATTTGTTAAAGTATCAGAAATGACCAATTTTACAGGAAGACATCAAAGAATTTGTTAGCACATGGAATGATCCCATGCAAATACAAAAACAGTATTGTATTCTGGTTTTATGTAGCTATTTGACTCTAATTTCCCGTCTGATTAGTTTAAAGGTGAAGGAAGTCATGCAGTCATTCTGTTCCTCTACAGTTTACTCTTGTCAAGGACCTTGGAAAGGTAAGCGAGTTCAGGAGTTGGATAGTAATGTGGGACCTAAATCTTTCAAAAGTACAGTACTGTTTCTACACAAAGCATTGCAGCAATTAATTTATCAATGCTGCACAGAGAATCACTCAGGACAAGAATCATTCATGGAAAAAAGAGGAAACTTGATGTCCAATGTAAAATTAATTTCAAGGTGGAGGCCAAGCTCAAATAACAGAAGGAAACTCAAGCCTTCAACTCACCCACCTTATCAAATATCACCTCACTGTTTCTAACTCTAACCCTAACCCTAACCATAACGCTAATCCTAACACCGACCCTAATCCTAACCCTAACCCTAACCCTAATCGTATCCCTAACCCTAATCGTATCCCTAAACCTAACCCTATCCCTAACCTAATCCCAATCCTGACACCAACCCTAAACCTAACCCTAACCCTATTGCAGGACATGTGGATTTAGCATTGGGCTCTCCCATCACCCCAAGATCCGCAATTTTTGAGTGGAAGAAAGTCGCCCTCAGTCTCGAGGGTCTGACCTAGAGAACAGAATGTGCAGTCCATGTTAAATATGTAAGATGATGTTTCTCTTGTGGTTCAGTATGATAGTGTATTGAAGTACTATGCCGTAGCGCTTTGGGACAATGGTTTTATACTCACTGGACTCACATCTGTAGAACCATGAGCAGTTTTGGTCCCCTAATTTAATGAAAGATATTTCATGAGAGGTAGTTCAGATAAGGGTCACTAGGATGATCCCTGGTATGGAGGGACTGGTATATGAGCAAAGGCTAAACAGATTGGGACTCTACTCACTGGAGTTCAGAAGAATGAGAGGTGATCTCGTTAAAACATATAGGAGTCTTAAGAGAAAACTCAGCAGATTTGGCAGCATGAGTGGAGAGAAAACAGAGTTAACGTTTCAGGTCCTGTGGCCCTTTTTCAGATCTTTCTGATGAAAGGTCACTGGACCCGAAACATTAACTCTGCTTTCTGTCCACGGATGCTGCCAGACCTTCTGAGGTTTCCCAGCAATTTCTGATTTTGTTCCTGATTTCCAGCATCTGCAGTTCTTTGGGGTTCTTTTTGTTTAGCATTCATTAAGGGAATAGAGAGGGTAAACGCTGAGAGGATGTTTCCCCTCATGGCAAGGTCTAGGACCAGAGGGCACAGACTCAGAATAAAGGGGCACCAATTTCAGATTGAGATGAGGAGGAATTTCTTCTCTCAAAGAATTGTGACTGTTTGGAGCACCTTGCCACAGAGAGCTGTGGGGGTAGAATCCTTGTGTATGTTTAAGGCTGACATGGAAAGATTCCTCATTAGTAAGGGATTCAAGGGTAACAGGGAAAATGTAAGAAAGTGGATATGAGGAATGTTGGATCAGCCATGATCCTATTGAATGGTGGAACAGGCTCAAAGAGCCAAATGCCTTACTCCTGCTCCTATTTCTTATGGTCTTATGGTCTAAGACACCAAATGCCAAAGGTTATGGCATTATGCTTTCACTGGGATGCGTTGGGTACAGTGGAAAAGGAAAGGATTACATTTAAGTCACTCCTTTTTCCTGCATCCTTCTCTAACTCTCTCTTCCCATAAGATGCAGCAGGTCTCTATTCCCTCACCAGATTTATAAAGTGATGAACAATGGTACAGATTATAACAACAGTAACTGTTTCCTCGTCCTATTCACATCCTCGTCTTTAGTCAATTTCGATTAATTTCCCAGAAGTGCGAACAATTTGTGGATCTGCTTAACGTGGGTTGGGTTGTGTTGGGATGTATTGGGTTGGGTGGGATTGGGTTGGGTTGTGTTGGGCTGGGGTGGGTTCTTTCTGATATATTGTCCTTGTTGCAGGCTCTATAATGATATGGACTGTACAACCCCTCACCTCTTGCAGGTGAGCCTGGGAAACTTCGTCTGCACACAAGTAAGAATTAATATTTTAAACTAGGTGTTTCTTAAAAATAAAAATCTAGTGGGGTCCCCATCATAACTTGCACTGTGTCCTGTTTATACCTGTTCTCAATTACCTGATTAGCTCATGATATGGCAACACTTCAGTTTTAAATGTCTCTTCCTTGGTTTTAAATCACTGTATGGTCTTACCCTTCCCTGCCTCTGAAAACTCCATTAACCTTACAATCCTCTAAGAGCTCTGCACCTCTCCAGTCCTAATATTTTGCATATGTTTGACTTCACAAGCTGCACTGTTGGCTGTTCTCTCGACTGCCTAAGCCACAGGTTTTGGACTTCCTTCCCAGAGGTGTTCAAGAGGATGAATACTTGGATATAAATAGTGTGCAGGCATACAGAGAAAAGGCAGGGGGAATGGCACTCGGTAGTAGAACAGGCACAGGTACAATGGGCCAAATGGCCTCCTTCTGTACCAGAACATTTTTGTGATTCTGCGAAACTCACCATCTGTCAATCTCCTTTTCTTCTTTTAGGCATTCCATAAAATCTTCATCTTTGCTTATCCTAAAACATACTTAAGCTGGAGTCAAACGATAACACTCCTGTGAAGTGCCTCAGGAAATGTGGTAATGTTGTAAACAGCTGAAAAGCTTATCAACAGTAATTTTCTAGGTTAGAAACATAGAAATATGGAGTTGGAGCAGGCCATTCAGCCCATTGAGCCTGCTCTGCCATTCAATATGATCATGACTGATCCTCCAAACCAGTACCTTGTTCCTGCTTTCTCCCCCATGCCCTTTGATCTCTTTTGCCACAAGATCTATATCTATAGGATATTTCGCCTCCTCAGTCCCATCAGAGTCCTGGAAATAAAGTGCTAGTGTGTAACTTACAACACTATCTAATTCTAACCACCACCCCCAAAAAGAAACCATCATTTTTAAAATCTTTACATTAGGAAACATACTGGTTCATCTCTGTTTTGTATCATCCTCTCAGGCCCTCATAAACCTCATGCTCACTGGGAGAGCTAGTCCGAACGTTTTCAATGGAGACCAACAATATGATAACCAAGGTGTCCTGCTTAAAGAACCAAAGCATGGAGTCCTTGCCAGAAGTGATGTGGGCTATCTCTACTGGAACAGACATGAACTAGACCACGAGAATCTCCCACAGGTAACTTTCTGTGTTTTTTTTTGAAGCTGTAAAGGTGGGACTGTCAAATTTGTCCTAGTGCAAAATCACCAAACTGTGTTTTTCCATGAAAGCCGGGAATGAGTTATCAGCTACACCTCCCAAAAGGTTGGCAGCAAATGCTTCCCAGCTCTTGATGTCTTCCGCATTGCTGTTTAATTGATTGGAGGCCTGCTTTCTCCATTTACTGGGCAAGAATGCCCTACCTTGGAGAGCTGTCGACCAATCTGTTCGTCAATAGCTTCCTAACTCAACAGCGCCACCATGGGCAGTGACTGCTGCTGGGACTACAGCTAGTGTCTGGACAAAAGATGAATGCAAGGGTTCTTTTGCTGATTTGATTTGATTTGATTTATTACTGTCACGTGTACCTAGGTACAGTGAAAAGTTTTGTTTTGCATGCAGTACAGGTTGATCATACCATACAAAGTACATATAGGGTAATAGAACAGAGCAAAGAATACAATGTTATTAGCTGCAGAGAAGGTGCACAAAGAGAGGTATCAACATTTAAATTTAAAATTTAAAAGATCCATTCAGAAGTCTGATAACAGGAGGGAAGAAACTGTTAGTGAATCTGTTGGTACATGCTTTTGTATCTGGATGGGCGCAAGCTAAGAAGCCTGGGACAGGGAGAGGGGAATGATGGGAAACTCAACAGGTCAGGTAGCATCTGTGGAGAGAGAAAGACAGTTAACAAAACTCATTCTGAAGAAGGGTCACTAGACTCAAAACATTCACACTCTCCACAGATGCAGTCAGACCTGCTGAGTTCCTCCAGCAATGTCTGTTTTCATTTAAGAAAGGGTCCTAGCTGTTTTGTAGCATGTATGAACTCCTGTGTTTCAAGAGGGCAGCTCATCACCACTCTCTCAACTGGGGCGATTAGTGATGAACAGTGAAGGCTGAAGTGATGCCCAGGTCTTGTATGTATAAAGTCCAAGAGGCAGTGTAAGATTGGATATTACCATGATTACTGCTGGGACACAACCTGTTAGTCAGCACTATCAAGAGAAAAAATCTTTATTCACCTCTCTTTTTGTAAGGTTCATACAAAAACACAGAAACAGGCCACTCAGCCAGAGCTGAACTTTAAGCCTCAGGCCCTCCTCCATTGTAATTCATCAAACCTAGCAGCAAATTTTATTCTCTCACAGGATGGTCAGTATCACTGACTAGGCCAGCATTTGCTGCCTGTCTCGAATTGAGCTCGTCATTGTCTTCAGGAAGCAGAATGGAGGGCACGTCCCTGTCTGCATCAATGGTGCTGAGGTGGAGATAGTCAAAAACATCAATTTCCTGGGAGTGACGATTACCGACAATCTGTCTTGGTCCACCCACACACACGCGATGGTCTACATCCTCAGGAAGCTAAGGAAATTTGGCATGTCCACAAGGATTTTTACCAGTTTTTATAGATGCACCATAGAAAGCATTCTATCCAGATGCATCACAGCTTGGTATGGCAACTGCTCTGCCCAAGCCTCAAGAAACTACAGAGAGACATGAACACAGCCCAGTCCATCACGCAAACCATCCATTGACTCCATCTATACTTCTCACTGCCTCAGGAAAGCAACCAACATCATCAAAGACACCTCCCACTCCATTATACTGTCTTCCACCTGTTCCATCGAGCAGCTGATATAAAAGTTTGAATACACAGACGAATAGATCTAAGAACAGCTTCCTCCCTGCTGTTATCAGATTTTTGAATGAACCTCTCAAATGTTAACTCTGATCTCACTCTCTCTGCACCTTCTCTGCGGCTGTAACACTATATTCTGCACTCTGTTCTGCTGCCCTGATGCACTTGGTATGGTTCGATCCGCCTGTTTAACATGCAAAACAACACTTTTCACTGTATCATGTGACAACAGCAATAAATCAATCAATCATTTCCCCTGAGAAAATATTGAAGATCCAATGTCTTGATCTGCTGCAGTCCCTGGCGTGTGGGGGCTGCTAGGGACAACAGTTCCAGAATTTTGCCTTATTCCTTTCTCCCTCATCTAGTCATTGTGCTTCTCCTTAAGAGCCTCAGTACCTGTCACCAGAACTATTCCTTAGATAGCAAATTCCACATTCTAACCACTTGCTTGATAAAAGCATTTCTCTCACCTTTTTCTTAGAAAAGGAACCCTTTGGACCAAGATTCTGAACTTATATTGGGCCCTGAAATTAGTTGCAAGGCTTTTTTTTCCCTTTATTCTTTCACGGGATGAGGGCGTTGCTGCCTAGGCAGCATTTAATGCCCATCCCTAATTGCCCAGAGGGCAGTTAAGAGTCAACCACATTGCTGCGGGTCTGGAATCATATGTAGGCCAGACCAGGTAAGGATGGCAGTTTCCTTCCCTAAAGGACATTAGTGAACCAGATGGGTTTTTCCTGACAATTGACAATGGATTCACAGTCGTCATTAGATTCTTAATTCCAGATACTTTATTGAACATAGAACATAGAACATAGAACATTAAAGCGCAGTACAGGCCCTTCGGCCCTCGATGTTGCGCCGACCTGTGAAACCAATCTGAAGCCCATCTAACCTAAACTATTCCATTATCATCCATATGTTTATCCAATGACCATTTAAATGCCCTTAAAGTGGGCGAGTCTACTATTTTTGCAGGCAGGGCATTCCACGCCCTTACTACTCTCTGAGTAAAGAACCTACCTCTGACATCTGTCCTATATCTATCACCCCTCAATTTAAAGCTATGTCCCCTCGTGCTAGCCATCACCATCCGATGAAAAAGGCTCCCACTGTCCACCCTATCTAATCCTCTGATGATCTTGTATGTCTCTATCAAGTCACCTCTTAACCTTCTTCAACTTGGATTCAAACCCGGGTCCCCAGAACATTATCTGGGTTTCTGGATTAACAGTCCGGCGATAATACCACTCGGCCATCGCCACCCATTTGCACATGAACAACCAGATTTGGCTGGATATTCTGTTGTTGACATTGCACTTCAGGCACTAACAATATCTTAAAGAAAGAGGTTTTATAGATCTGTACTTAGTGATGCAAAACGTTACTTTGTGGATCAGTTCCAGTGTAGCTGGACACTCTAGGATGTAGTTAATGGCATATATACGTTACAGAGCTGTAGGACGCTGTGCACACACTTTGTCAAATGTCATACTCATAAACTGTGCCTACACAGTTATATAATCTGTGCCCTGACTGCTCTGGTAATTCTGCAAAGCAATTCTTTTGATACAAGGCTATAAACAGAGAAACTGCGCTGTTGACATTCCTGATCAGGGAAAGGTCAAAGCCTTGCAGCAACACTGGGCAGTCCATTATTATAAGTCTCTCGTATGAGGTGATAGCTATCTCAGTGGAATGGTATTCAACAGTCCCATGTTAATGTTTCACTCATATGGATTCAGGTCTCACCTTGGCAGATAGTGAAATTTGAATTAAATTGAAATCTGGAATTTCAAAAAAGTTAGCTTAATGGGAACCATGTGTTGTTTGTCATTGAAACCTAGGGAGGCGATGCCCTAGTGGTATTATTGCTGGATTGCTAATCCAGAGACCCAGATAATGTTCTGGGGAACTGGGTTCAAATCCCGCTACGCCAGATGATGGAATTTGAATTCAATAAAACAAACCCTGAAATTAAGAGTCCATGACCATGAATCAATTATCAGGAAAAACCCACCTGGTTCACTAATTCCCTGTAGGAAAGGAAACTGCCATCCTTGCCTCATCTGGCCTACATGTGACTCCAGACCCACAGCAAAATTGTTGACTCTTAAATGCCCTCTGGGCAATAAATGCTACCTAGCCAGCGAAGCCCTCATCCCATGAATGAATAAAACAAGTTCACTAAGTGAACTTCGATAGTCAGAGACTTTTTGCCAGGGCGGAAATGGGGCAAATTTTAAGGTGATTGGAGGAAGGTATAGGAGAGATGTCAGAGGTAGGTTCTTCACACAGAGAGTGGTGGGCGTGTGGAATGCGCTGCCGGCAGTGGTAGTGGAGTCAGATACTTTAGAGACTTTTAAGCAACTCTTGGATAGGCACATGGAGGATAGTAAAATGTAGGGTATGCAGGGTAGATTGATCTTAGTAGGATAATAGGTCGGCACAACATCGTGGTTCGAAGGGCCTGTACTGTGCTGTACTGTTCTATGTTCTATGATCTATGTTCTAATGATCTTTCGTGCTTAAAGGAATGTCCTTCTTCTAGGTAAGGGAATTGGACTGGCCTAATTCAACTCCTGACCCACAGAAATATGGCTGACCCTTAACTACTCACTGATCTAAATGGATAATGAATGAAGGCCTTGCCAATGAAGCCCACATCCCATCTAAAAGCTTTAAAAATGTGATACATAAGATGGGCATAGATCAGTTCAGCCAAGTCTTGCGTTTCTGTGTTGCATTGTGTGACTTTTATGATAATCAATGGGAAAGAAGACTGCTAATTTTCTTGGTAACTGCAATTGATCATGACCAGGCAGTCGCCATGGTAATGTGCAATCTCGCTTAACCAAAGAAGTACTAAATTATCAGGATCCTTTTTTTGAAGGGCCTCCGCTTCAAGAACTCAATTTGTGTAACTGTCAAATGAACGCAATGAGAGTGGGAAAGATTTTATAACGCACATGAATTGTAAATCATATGACCATGACTGTACCAGATCTGAAAGTTCCAGCCTTGATTTGTTTGTGTTGCTGTAATTGTTCTGAGTTTGATTATGCGAATCTGTTTACTATTGGTGGTCACTGTGTCTGCATGGTTAAGACTGGGTGTGACTCAAGGGAAAGTTGATAAAATGTAGAGATAGCTAGAATCCTGAGCTAGAACATGGATTCAACTTCTCAAAACATTATGAACAAAACCTGTGGCACTGCTGTGTCATCCCTGTGGATCTCCGAGACATAATCTATACAATTCCTGAGCTTGTACTCCACTAACCCCTGAATGAAAGCTGCAGCTTTGTTTTTTATCTCCCTATATGGATAGATCAAGGAAACTGTAATTATTAACTTTAAAGGTGAGAAGCTTAAGGGGGACATTTAGCAGAATCATTCAAAATTCTAGAGAGTTTTGTTTGAGTAAATTCAGGAGAAAAGTGTATATCTTGTAACGTTGTATGTCAGCAATTCGAGTAGATTGGAAGTGTTAATTTCTGCGGAGACCATCTCAGGTAGCTTCACTACCTTCAAACCTCTTTGTTGGTATTGGTTGAGCTGCATTTTGGGAGGGATGCCCACAAAATGTCTCATGTAGAAGTAGGTTCTGACTTGATTAAACTGTGGTGTTTTGTTATATTTTACTTAGTAGCTGGTTAAAATATGTCTAATATTCATGCTGCACAAATGCTGGGCAAGATCGTCTCCAGCCAGAGTCAATCTAAGCGCTGACCCTTGACATTCAATGGCGTTACCATCACTGAATCCCCCAGTGTCATTATCCTGGGCATTACCTTTGATCAGAAATAGAACTGGACTCACCATATAAACACAATGGCTACAAGAGTAGGTTAGAGGCTAGGAATACTGTGGCGAGTAACTCACCTCCCATCCATCATCACCAAGGCATAAGTCAGGAGTGTAATGGAATACTCCCCACTTGCCTGGATGAGTGCAGCCCCAACAATACTCAAGAAGCTTAACACCATCCAGGGCAAAGCAGCCTACTGGATTGGCATTACATCTACAAGCATCCACTCCCTCCACCACCGATTCTTAGTAGCAGTACGTATCGTCTACAAGATGCACTGCAGAAATTCACCAAAGATCCTCAGGCAGCACATTTCAAGCCTACGACCACTTCCATCTAAAAGGACAAGGGCAGCAGGTATGTGGGAACTCCACCACCTGCAAGTTCCTCTCCAAGCCACTCACCATTCTGACCTGGAAATATATTGCCGTTCTTTCACTCTCACTAGGTCAAAATCCTGGAATTCCCTCCCTAACGGCATTGTGGTTCAACCCACAGCACATAGACTGCAGCGGTTCAAGAAGGCAGCTCATCACCACCTTCTCCAAGTGCAATCAGAAACAACATCCACATACCACGGGTTAATAAAAATAAATATAAGATTGCCTCTTGTGAGACATACGATGCAAATGAAGAGTAGATAGACATTGCTACTTTAGCTACATGCTCTTAAAAGTAGGAACAAACACTCAGAATCTTTCTGCTACTCTGGTGAACATACTACCAACCCTAGGACAAAGATTAGCTCTTCCCATGAACCGTCCTTTATACCTGGATAGGCAGAGCTTAAATCTTTCCAGTACTAACTGCCTAATACAACATTGTCCACTGGCAGAAGGGTTGGTATGACCAAAGGAAACCTTCTTAATTCACTTGTGGGACATGAGCATCGCTGGCTGAGCCAACATGTATTGCCCATCCCCAGCTGCCCTTGAGAAGGTGATGGTGAGCTGCCTTCTTGAACCATTGCAGTCATGTGCTACAGGCAGACCCACAATGCCCTTGGGGAGGGAATTCCAGGATTTTGACCCAGCGACAGTGAAGGAATGGCAATATCATTCCAAGTCAGGATGCTGAGTGGCTTAGAGGGGAACTTAAAGATGGTGGTGTTCCCATATATCTGCTGCCCTTTTCCTTCTAAATGGAAGTGGTCGTGGTTTTAGAAGGCACTGTCTAAGGATCTTCGGTGATGTCAGTTGTGCATCTTGTAAATTGTATGCACTACTGCTACTGAGTGTCGGTGGTGGAGGGAGTGGATGTTTGTGGATGTGGTGCCAATCAAGCGGGCTGCTTTGTCCTGGATGGTGTCAAGCTTCTAGAGTGTTGTTGGAGCTACATCCATCCTGGAAAGTGGGGAATATTCCATCTTGACACATAATTTTAAAGATAATCGGCATAAAAAAGGGGAGATGAGGAGACAATTATTTTACGCATCTGGAAGAAACAGCCTAAAAGGGTGCAGTGGGAGTAAATTCAATAGTAGCTTTTAAAAGGAAGTTGGTTATACTTTTGGAAAGCATACATTAAAGTGCCTGTGAGGAAAGAACAGAGGCTGAGTTTTACAGTTCCCTTCTGATGGAGGACGCAATCAGAGTGGCCCATGTATTTTTCCAACTGAATTGCCCACCACCTACCCCACACCCTCACCATGACTTTCTGGGCGACAGGTAAGGCCCAGAGCAGTCCACCTGCCTTTGTCTCAGTTGAGACCCTCAAGTAGCCAATTATTGGCCACTTAAGAGATGCTTCCTGTCTTCATCGATAGTAGGAACTGCAGATGCTGGAGAATCTGAGATAACAAGGTGTAGAGCTGGATGGACACAGCAGGCCAAGCAGCATCAGAGGAGCAGGAAGGCTGACGTTTCGGTCCTAGACCCTTCTTCAGAAAAATGTCACGTCGGGGAAGAACCAATGACTGTTGTGAGGCTGGATAGGCTGGGGCCTTTTTCCCTGAAATGTAGGAACCTGAGGGGTCACCTTAAAGAGGTTTATAAAATCATGATGGGCATGGACAGGGTGAAAAGAATAGGTTTTTTTTCCTTAGGAGAGGGGAGTCCAAAACTAGAAGGGATAGGTTTAAGGTGAGAAGGAAAAGATTGAAAAGGGACTGGAGGGGTAACTTTTTCACACAGGCGATAGTTCATATCTGGAATAAACTGCCAGAGGAAGTGGTAGATGCAGGCACAATTTACAACATTTAAAAGAGATTTGGACTTGTACATGAACAAGAAAGGTTTAGAGGCTTATGATCGGCATGGATAAGTTGGACCAAAAGGCCTGTTTCTGTGCTGTATGACTCTTTGACTCTATTTAACCATCTCAAACAAACAGGGACTGCAGTCAAAGTTAATCCAACAAATAAAATTTATCCTTTAATCTGCAGCACAATGGATTAATGTTACAATGGTTCCTGCAACTGATCCTGTTTGTTTACTTTTGCCAGGTTGTAAGCATGTTGAAAACTCCCAAGCTCCCGATATGGCTGTGCAACATCAATGACACTTTCAGTGTACTGTTCAATACCAATAGACTCCTCTTGTCTGACTGGAGGATGGAGCATCTCTTCGATCTGTATTTTTACAGCGGCCAGTCTTCGCAGACAAAAACCGTCACTCTAACAATCGGTACACGCTTTGAAATCAAATGTAAAATGATCATTTGGCTCTGTGCTAGTACTCTGCATTAGGCAGTTGTGGGCTCACCTCCTACTCCAGTTACTTCAGGCACATAATCACCATCCTGACTTGGAAACATATCGCCATTCCTTCGACAAACTGCAGAGCTGGATGAACACAGCAGGCTAAGCAGCATCATAGGAGCAGAAAGGCTGACGTTTCGGGCCTAGACCCTTCATCAGAAATGATTTCTGATGAAGGGTCAGCCTTTCTGCTCCTATGATGCTGCTTAGCCTGCTGTGTTCCTCCAGCTCTGCACCTTGTTGTCTCGGATTCTCCAGCATTTGCAGTTCCTACTATCTCTCGCCATTCCTTCATTGTCCCTGGTCAAAATCCAGGAATTCCCTCATTGTGGGTCTACCAATAGCACATAGATTGCAGCATTTTGAGAAGGCAGCTCACCACCACCTTCTGAACGGCAGCTAGGGACAGGAAATAAATGGTGGTCCAGCCAGCAATGCCTAAATCCCATGAGCGATTTTTTTAATATAAGGTTTGGGCTGACACTTTAGTGCTGTAGGAGTGTCGCACACTCTTTCCAACGAGCCACTAAACCATGTGGCCTTGCAAATGGATGTACTAGATCGCACTTTTTAAGAAGGGATTCTGGTTGTTATTAGCTGATAAAAATGCAGGAGAAATCCCACATCGGGATTGGGACACGATTTCCCTGAGTTGGAGGTGGGAACTTCCATTGATTTCCCTGAAGGGAGCTGCCAGGGAAATCTCACGCCACTGTTTTGTTCAGAATATTTCATTGTTTTCTGACCTTCATTTCACTCTGTGGCATTATTTCTGTGTCACACCAGTTCTATTCCTCTTCCCTTGAGCTCTTAGCTTCAAACATTCTTGCATCTTTCACAATGCATGCCAATTAGACCTCGTGTCCCTCAGACTACATTCCCTCACACTGTTGACAGAATTCTCTAATGTTAACATTGCCTTCTCTTGAAGATACTCACTCTCACCACTGGGAGGATGGGATGCGCGAGAAGGAAGAAGATCCCGAGAAGAGGTTCCCCTCAGTGGAAATGACCATTCGCACGAAGTGGGAAGGAGCTGCTATTGACTGGAATGGAACTGTACCATTTTTCTGAATCCCAGCAAGGGATTCACAGGAGACTGTTAAACCATGACTAACTGTGTAGTATTGGGAAGCTGAAGGCTGGCAGCTCAAGTGTTTTATTGTCCATTCATCCCTAGTTCCCTAGTACTGCACAGGCGGAGCCCCGATAGCAATTCCAAACTTATTCATGTTCTCTGCAGCTGTTCTAATTGAAGCATAAATAGAGAACTCTCTTTAGGCGATCTTGTGATCGATGGTAATATTCCTACCTCTGAGTCAGGAGGCCTGGGTTCAAGTCACACCTGCTCCAGAGGTGTGTCATAATATAACTGTGGCAGGTTGATTAGAAATACCTAAGTGGAGAACTCTTTCTGTTGCTGTTAACCCAACAACAAATCTGTTTTGATGACTTGAACAGCTGGGCCACATTCAAGGCAACGGAACATCTAAATGCATTTGACATTAGCCTTGCACCCTTCAGCTCAAACAAAAGCTCCCCCATCAATAAGTTGAATTTGTGCCAGGATGAAGGCACAATAAAAACAATGGGACTTGTGAGACCTGTCCAAGAAAGGCAACCATGAGCGTATGGTGTCATAGAGATGTACAACATGGAAACAGGCCCTTCGGTCCAACTCATCCATTCGGACCAGATATCCTAAATAAATCTAACCCCATTTGCATTTAGCCCATATCCTTCAAATCCTTACTATTCATATATCCATCCAGATGCCTTTTAAATGTTGTAATGGTACCAGCTTCCACCACTTTCTCTGCAGCTCATTCCATACATGCACCACCCTCTGCATGAAAAAGTTGCCCCTTAGGTCCCTTTTAAATCTTTCCCCTGTTACCTATAAACCTACACCCTCTAGTTTTGGTCTCCCGTACCCTGGGAGAAAGAGTCTGGCTATTCACCTTATCTACGCCCCTCACGATTTTATAAACTTCTGTAAGGTCACTCCTCAGCCTCCAATACTCCAGGAAAAATAGCCCCAACATATTCAGCCTCTCTCTATAGCTCAAACTCTCAAACCTTGGCAACATCCTTGTAAACATTTTCTGAATCCTTTCAAGGTTTTAGCGTAGAATTGTAGCTCGGGTTGTGGATGTTGTGGTTGGTTGGCTCGCCGAGCTGGTTCGTTGTTCCACTGACATTTCATTACCCTGCTGGGTAACATCATCAGTGCAGCCTCCGATGTGAAGCTGTAATTTTGACAGCAGGTCTGGCTGTTTTGTTTTGAATGGTATCTTTTCTAATTGGGTTTGACAGACCTCCATTGAGACTGAACAGGGAAATTGGAGCGTGAACAAAATATTGAATTTTCATGGCCATAGTTTAGACAAGTTAACACTCAGGCTCCATTTTAAAAAATTGCTATGATATGCAAAATGATAGGAGAACATATTATTATAAATTAGCTCCAAAGTTACATTTAAGAAACAAAACCATAATTCAGCTAGGAAAAAAATGCTAATCAATAATTTCAAAAGGGACTAAAAATATTAACCACAAATGATAGGATCAAAAAAGTTATGGCACAGAAAGAGGCCATTGAGCCCATCATGTCTGTTCGAATCTCGCCTTCCAGCTTTGCAGGTTACAGTGCGTCGGGTGCAGATCCAGGATTTTTTAAATGAATAAATCATTTTCAAATGATTGAGGTTCCTGCCTCAACTACCCTCTTGCAAAAAATGCTTTCCCTCATGTCCTTCTAATCCTTCTACCAATCAACTTAAATCTGTGTCCCATGATAATTGAACCAGACATTTCATGTCTACTTTATCGGGTGCTCTGGTTTCCTCCCACAGTCCAAAGATGTGCAGGTTACTTTATAGGACCCTCATAATTTTACACACCACTATTAATGCTGAGCCTGAAGGAAAATAGCCTTAGCATACCTAATCGTTCTCCATAGCTGCAATTTTGAAATCCTGGCAACATTTTTGTAAATCTCCTCTGTGCGCTCTCCAGATCAACTATGTCCTTCCTGTAATTTGGTGCCCAGATTTGTACACAATCTTCTAGCTCTGGCCTAAGCAGTGTTTAATTCGTTTACAGCATTACATCCATTTTTTTGTAACCTGTACCTCATACAATAAAACAGCATTCCATATGCTCTCTTTATCACCTTTTCTATTGTTGCGCTGCCTTCAAGAATCTGTGGATGTGCAGTTTAAAGTCTTTTACTTTCTCATATCTCTCTCATTATCCTTTTGTTTATTGTATATTGCTTGGTTTTGTTTGCCCTCCCTAGATGCCCTCCTCAAACTCCTCCAGACTGAATTCCATTTGTGTCTTTTCCGCACACACAATCAAATCTTTGATATTATTCTACAGTCAACAGCCATCCCCTTCACTATCAACCATCTGACCAATTTTTATGACTTCTGCAAATTTCCAAATCATGCCTCTCACTTTTAAGTATAAATCATCAATGTATGCATTAAACTGCAAGGGACCCAAAACTGATCCCTGCAGAGCACCACAGCTTTCTACTCACAAAGGTATCTATTGACCTCTACCTTTTGTTTATTTTTGCTGATCCAATTATGGATCCAACACACTACATTCTCCTGTATTCCACTGGCTTGTACTTTCCTGACCCAGATTGCCATATGGCATTTTGTCAAATGCCTTACTAAAATCCATGTAGACAACATCCATGACACTGCCCTATCAATCCTCCCTGCTATTTCCTCAAAGGTATGAAGTCACAACCTGCCTGACACAAAACCAAGGTGACTATCTCTGATGTATGAGGAAAATGGAGATTGGAACTAAGTCATAGAACTGGTCCACGCATGATGGGCTGAATGGACTCCTTAACCAGGGGTCTCCGGTTTTGATAATACTAACCCCATAGAATCTCACTTTTTAAAGTGTCCAATTGGTTTGTTACTGGTTTTCCTTCAAGTAGCTATGTGCATTACATTGCGCAGTTATGCAAAATGTCTCCTCCCCCAATTTAGAACTTTTACTCCTGTTCTATCATTGTCTTTTTCCAACACGACACTAAATCTAATTGCATTTTGATCACTATCTCCAAAACGGTCATCCACTCACACTTCCTTCAAATCACAGTTTCCCTGCCTCAATTTCAGAACAGCAGACACTAAGACCTTAACCAGCCAGTGGTCCCCATTTGTTGTAAATGGAATAATATCTTGAGATAAGTTTAGTTCATTCACTACATAATCCAGTAGAATTCGATTTCTGTTTGTGTGCAACAATTGAATGACATGCTGGATGTTAGTGTTGATGAAGAAAGTTGGGTATTATACTTGGCAGAAAGGCCATCTTCCGAACCTACGTCATTGACTTCCATCAGCTCCTTCAATTTGATCTTTTGCTCTTAATGCCATTTCTTCACAGGTGGTCGAAAAATACCCCAAGTTTAATTTAACAGAAGTATTGGTAGATACCCATCCAGCTGCTCAAGGCATCAAGCTCGATCAGTCTCTTCATGGCGAATCAAAGCTGCCTGGCAAAACCGTTCAATCTGGGTGTAGATGTGGTAATAAACAGCTTTCACTGGTCATTGGTGCACTGTGATATTATGTCAATAACTCTCAGAATAATGAGAGAGATAGCCGCTTTATAGTTTGTGATAGTGTCTCTACCTCTGAGCTAGAAAGACCAGGTTCAAGTTCCACCTGCTCCAGAGGTGTGTAATAACATTCCTGAATAGGTTAATTGAGAATCATCTATAGTCAAGTAGGGTAAATGTAGAATGCAGACCTCATAACTACCATAATTTATTGTTTTTCCCCTTTTATTCATTGGATGTGTTGGATCAACCAATATTTATTGTTCATCCTTAAGTGCCTACAGTTTAAGAGTCAACCACATTGTTGTAATTTGGAGCGTTATGTAGGCCAGACAAGTTCCTTCCCTGAAGGAATTTCTCTGAAACAATAATTGGCAGTGGCTGCTGCTAGACTAGCTTCTGATTTTTATGATTGAATTCAAGTCTCACCATCTGCTATGACAAGATTTAAACCTATTATAACTCCATAACATTAGCTTGGGGCTCTAAATTACTAGCCCGATGACATTACCACGATACCACAGCCTCCCTAACCCTTGCACTTCCTTTCATGTTTCAGGCTTTTTGCTGGCTGGTTAAAAGGCCAATCCCCTTGCCCTATTTACCAGTTAGTAATCAATATTAAATTTACTGGTGATAAAAGAATTAAATGTCAAAAGGACCTTCGCGCAATTTTCCCTAACCCATGCCTTCTTCAATCCAGATGCCCTTTGGAACACAAATACATCCACATGACTGTTTAAAATCTTATTACTTAATGTGGAAAATAAAAATCTGACATGCAACCTTTTCAGGTGCTGTTAATTTTGCAAAAGTGCAGCAAATTTGGAGATAATATGCGTAGCTGTGTGATGGAGATTAAAAAGTCACTGAGATTATCTGTACTGAATCCAATATCCGTCCAGGTTATTCGAAACTGAAGTGCCAAAATCTGGCGTTTCATGAAGTTTGGGTTTTGGCTAAGCCCTTGATTAACAGAGATTGCAGGCTGAGATTTTGAGCCCTCAGTTTATATGATCTTTATCATCCTTCAGAATTTCAGAAAACTTTGCTTCTCCCGTAGATGGCAGTAAACAGCCATCATGTAAAAGCTTGCTAAACATTTGCTGCAGTACAGACGACAAAATGCATGCAGCAATACTGCACCAGTGTTTCCCAAATTCTGCAGTGCTGGACTGGGAAATAAGGTTTATTAGGAGACAATAAAGACTGCAGATACTGGAAGCCAGAGTCTATAGGTGTGAAGCTGGAAAAGAACAGCAGGTCAGACAACATCAGAAGAGCAGGAAGGTCAATGTTTCAGGCCAATGTTGTCAGGACTGGGGTGGGGCTGGGGAGCCCAGAAATAAATAGAGGGAGGGGTATTGGGCGGGGGTAAAGGTAGGACAAATGGTGATACATGGATGCAGTTGGAGGGTATCGTGATTGGTCTGTGGGAAGGGTGGAGTGGATAGCTGAGTAGAAAGATGGACAGGTTAGGTCAGTTCAGGGAGGTGAGACAGAGGGTAAGGGCTGAACAATGGGATAAGGCTGGGGGTGGAGGAAATTGAAACTGCTGAAGTCAACGTTGAAGCCATTGAGCTGTTTGCTCCCAAGGTGAGATATGAGATGTTGTTCCTCCAGTTTACGTTTGGCGTCACACTGACAGTGGAGGAGGCCAAGGATGGACATGTCACCAGGGGAGTGGGACGGCGAATTAAAATGGATGGAAACTGGAAGATTGGGTTGGTTGGTGCATGCAGAGCGCAGATGCTCTGCGAACCAGTTCCTGAGTCTGCATTTGGTCTCCCCGATATAGAGGAGATCACATCGGGAGCAACGGATACAATAGATGGGGTTGAATGAAGTGCAGGTGAATCTCTGCTGGATCTGGAAGGATTGTTTTGGGCCTTGGATGGAGGTGAGAGGAGAGGTGTAGGGGTAGGTGTTGCACTTCTTGAGGTCACAGGGAAAGGTATCAGGTGTGGTGGAGAAGTTGGTGCGGAGTGTAGAGATGACGGGACAGTCGTGGAATGAAAGGTCCCTGTGGAAAGTGGACAGGGAAATATCTTTTTGGTGGTGGGGT